TTTCTCTTTAGGATGTGCATGTGTATTTATAGGCACTTTTTCGTTCTAAAGTTCACACTCGTGGTACACTGAGTCAGCTGCAGAGACGCGCTCTGACTCGGACAACTTCAGCTCATGATGTGAATGTCACAGGTTTGACATCCTCCCGAGGGGAKCMGTATAAACAATTTGTGACTGAAAAGCGACGATCGATGACGATGACGACGACAATGAAGAAGGTCGAAGCCTAAACAATAGTTTTATGTGACAATATCARCATTACGCTATTGCGTGACACTAGGTCCCGTATGTATTAATTTATTCAGAGTTCTCGTTYGGTTCATGTATGTTGTGAAGTAGTGATCCTGTGATCATTAAAATACTATTTCAAACCCCAGCTTTAAGCACATCTTGTTACATCTTATTTGAAAACTAATGAATAGGTTAAATGTTCAAAGAACATTTATAAGACCAAAGTGAATTGGGCTTAAAATTCCTAGACATTAAGTGAAATGAACAAGCTACAACCTCTAAGAGGACACGACAGTTCGAATTCGCGATCGCATGATCTATTTTATCTATTTCGTGTATCTGTCGATTCAATTATTTCATATGGTATATTTTCAAATACAATAAAACAAAAGTAAAATTTAAAGAGAATGATAAATAAATAACCTAATGTTATTAAACATCATAAGCATAACATTTGATGACATTTTTTCATAAGTGTTATTCCAATGTTTCGAAAATGCATTTCAAACTTTAGAAGATAATAAGTAAAATATTGTTTTAGACATTGAATGCTTGTTTTCATTTGATTTTTATTTACATTTAAGTAAGTATAATCTCATGTTTTGATTGTAGCCTCGTTTCCATGTTGAGCTCAAATGGCTGTCAAGATAGTCATAAATAACCCTCGTTTTTACTCTCTTCCCCTCTTGGGACTTTTTGGGACTTTTGATATGTTGTAAAGCACATAATTCTGAGTCGAAAACCGTTGAGAAACCTTCTGTTGCAATTAGTGGCAGGTTGAGKCCAAAATTTTCGTAGATTGACTGGACTATTAACAGCCTGCCCTAAGACATATTTCTCAAAAGATGTAGACAGGGTATTAAAATCCCATTATAAAATAGCTCATGTAAATTGGTACATTTGAGATTCATTTTGGCATTTCTGCCAATTACATTAAAAATGAAAATGAAATAAAATGACTGAAAATAAGCATGTGAAACATCTGAACGAAAATTATCTGAACAAGCTAAAGCTGCCATATTTTAATGCTTGCTATAATTGGATTCATTGATGGTGTAACAAAAGGCTCACTAACCATTTTTACCACAGCAATCAACAACAAACCACATACTTTCATCATTGAACAACAACAACAACATGTCAATTGAACTTGACATCCACATGTAAAAGCTTTACTGAAATAACTAGAATTTCTTAAGATTAAATCTACAAATCATCCTTAGAGCAACAATGTTTGGTTATTAGAAAGACAATGAACTATAATTCCCTTGGGCAATGCACTTTTGTTGAAGTAAATTAGAGTTAAATATTTTTATTTATAACTCTTGTCGCTGCAAGGCAGATTTTAATGTGTTTTCCTAGCGTTTATGTTCTTGTCTTGTGTTGGGTATATAAAAAAACATTCGAAAATGTTTCTAAAAAGTTACAATTATGTACTTTCTTTTGCAAATGGTACTTGACTGGTAAAGTGCACGTACATGTTATTCACGTAGCTTGAAAACAAAATGTATTTTTGGTGACATTTCAAGTGTTGGTGATGATACATTGTGAGATATGTTCGGCAATGATACTAGTATAGCAAATAAATGTTACAACGCTTTACAGCAGTTTGGGTAGTACTCCTGCTGTTCTTTAGGAATTTATTTACATTTGAGAAAAACAAAGCCAGTAGCATTTGTGGTAGGAAGAAACATACTTGTTTGTAAACGAAAGTATGTCGTAACTCAAAGTATCAGCTTTCCGTTCCACTTCAAAAGCAACGAAAGCACAAATTCAAGAAATGCTTGAAAGATTTTCAATATCAGATATATAAAATAGATAGATACTTCGCTTGCAAATCAACTGAAAAAGTCGCAAAAAGACACTAATTTGAAGAATTCAATAAAAATTACAAAAACTTTGCAAGTGGATTCAAAATATACACCTAAATCGTGCGTTGAAATTAAAGCTTAACTTTATATCTAAACACATGTGAAATATTTCAAGAGTTCAAAACATCCTTTATCTCCCACGGTTTCACACGAGAACAGAAAAAAATATGAGCTAACTGATACACAAATGCATATAAAAACCTCACCAAAACTGACCCACTTTGGCACTTACTTTCAGAGTTAAAAACGACCGACCAAAACACTTTGAAAGCAACCTTTCTTGATGAGTTCAAGCTTCAGTGTTAGACGATGAGCAATCAATCCGGTGGAGGAACTAGGGTATTGAGCAAACGTTCGTAACGCGCGGGAAACAATGGCGTGCCCTAATTTGGTCACAAAACTTGAAGTTTCCCGTGGAGTTTGTTTTGCTTTGCTAGATATTCAAATGAGACACGTGCAAAAAGCACTCGAGGGGAAAAAATAAACATCAGACTGTCAAGGATCTGACCCGCTGACTGATTAGTAAACTTTGAAGTAATGAAATGACCGTTTTTTATCTCTTGTTTGATTTTGAGATGTTGGGCAAGACCAGGAAATAACATGATCGAATTTACCCTCGAATTTGGTCACGTAACGCATCAAAATACGCTCCAAAACAATAAAATAAAAATATTTTGACCAAAACACTTCTATAAAGACAAACCTTGAAAGCCTTGTTTTAGTAATTCCTAGTTTGAGCGTCTCGCCTTAATTTTGAGTGTATTTTCGCTTGTAGTCAAATCCTGGTCTTTTTTATTGGACAGTTGACTGTCACCTTACTATTGGGCAGCCGTCAGGCAAACGTGCCATGAATTTGTATAATTGTCATGTGTGATCATAAATAATAAATACTCACACACAAAAAAAACATCTGAGACGAGAATTTTAGTCGTCCTGAAAGAATATCACAATTTTCGAGGTTCAATCACGAACAATTGAAAACAAACAATATTTTTTCCGCCTTCTTCACATTTCTTTTGTGAAAGATACAAAGCGTTTGTTATAAATGTTACATGACAATGGTTTCCATGGACACGTATATGCACTTTTTAGGCGAAATGACTCATATATCTTCAACAATAACAATTAAAAATTGTACTATTTTGTAAATATATTGTTGATGAATGTTTAGAATATTGAAGCAAAACCTCGTCAAAAATGACCTTTTTGGATGTTGTACATGCAAAGGGAATTGCAAAATCAATAATGTTATAAATGGATTAAAGAAAGATGCATTAAGAACGGTGATTATCTAGTGCGAAATACCTCCATTGGGTCCGAAAGAATCTTTATTGATATATCACCACATTCGACGACAAGTATCGGTTCTGAGTTTCGACAAATATTTTCAATATTTCACTGCCGGTTACGTGTCTTTTTGTCCTAAGAAGTGGAATAATTGTTTTATTTGTTTAGATGGAAGAAACATCCTGATTTCCATAGACGCCAGATTCCTCGAATAAGACGTTTTACTTTAACCACAACATGACTTTCGAAAATACTGCGGTGACGTTCGTGATCTTTGGTTAAGTGTGGTCGTTTTAAATTCCTATTTCAGGTCGATTTAATCTGATTTTAAGAAATTTTACTGCAACTTAAATTAAATGCGTCATGCGGCTATTAAAATGAATTCCGTACAGCCAAGCTAACGGTATGTGTTATCATCGAGAAAAAACAAGGTTAAAAGTGAACGACAAGGGCTGTAGATTTCTTAAGAATGTACAAAAGGACAACGTTTATAGTTGACTGCGTAAACCTATAGGAAATTCCCATAAAAGAATCATATATCCCTGTAATTACCTTAAAATTAAACACTTGGAATAACGAGACAATATCCATTTGGTCAAAACTCAATATCGCAAAAAATCTTCCAGAAAATTCTAAGCAACAGCCAAGCAGTTTTATTATTTTTGGACGCAAACAGTTAAATCTTACTTGTACATATGACGAAGGAACGTATCCCAATTCATTGTCCTCAAGCCTTCTCGCTGCCCACCAATTGGCGCTAGTTTTATCCACGATGTAAAACTTATCGCCTCTTTTCAAGCTGAGTAGAGTTTCAGTATCGTCATTATAATCGTATTTTGCTTCGTATATTTCCATGACGAAGAGATTTGAAGGAACGCTCTCTTGAGCGAATCGACACGTTGACAGCCAGTCTAGCTTTTCAAAATTGACATTGGATAGTCGGTATAGCTGTGACGTCATGGAATTATAATCAGAGTCTCTTACTTTCGAAGTGAAGTAGAAGGAACGCGGAATTTGTTGGAAAATAAACTTGATTACGCTTACTAGTAAATATCCTGAGACCGGAATCGAAATATCTCTCGACGCGCTGTTCTATACACACTGCGGGAACCACTGTTCGGTTCTTTTAAAACTCCTTAAAAGGAGTTCGCCGTTGCGTGTGTTACAATCAGCGTTTTATGTGGAAGCAGTTCGTCTTTTCTGATATCGTAGCATAATAAGTGGTTTTAAGTGCGTCAGAACGAGTTTCGTGTTTGTATATATTGTTAATAGCATAAGTTGTATATAAGTTACGCGATTGTGTTTGGCTACAAATACTGTACCCGAACACTAATTAATGATATTTTTGAAATAACAAGATATAACTTCATTCAGGGAAATCTTGAAATATCATTGTCACTAGTTTCACTATGTCTTCCAAATATCACGTGAAAAACACTCAAGGTCATTTATTTGTTTGTGGAAACATTAAATTCTGCTATTCCAATTAAAGTGCTTAAGTACCACTCTAAACCAATCAGATTTTCGGATTTGAAGTAGAAAAACAGATCTCTTGGCTTTTTTAATGGATTGGTTTGCTTTTATATACTGCGTTTTTTCCCCCAAGTTTCAAAAAGACATGTCCTCATCATGTCTTGATTTGGTTCCGAAGTCCGAGGAAAGATTATGAAAAAAATCTTGATCTATATTAGGTGCCAATTTGACATTGAAAGGTCAATGTTTTTTTTGTGAAAAAAATCTCATTGTCGAAAGTCCATGTAAGCGCTCATTGATCTTCATTCGCCATTCTCTATCAACTTGTGTTATTTTGTATTTGCGATTTCTAATTCTTCTGTTCAATTAAATCAGTTTTATCGATTTTGATCTTATTCTTTTTGTAATCATTTCATTTCAAACCATCCGTAAGACGGTAAGAAATCATCGTATTATATTTGTTAAAAATACATTTACTCGTTTGTGATTGGTCAGTAGATACTGCAATCATTATCATATTTGACCGGGCACCATTTTTTGTTTCACTTTGAAGTCATAGCGCAAGCGCTCAATGTTGCATAAAACTCGTCCATTTTTTTAAATAGTCTATATACTTGTGCTTAAATAAATAACGAAGCATTTATTACCTTTGTCTCACCACAGACATTTCGGCCGCGTGATGATGACTCTGGCCTTTAGTATTTTTAGATATTTAGTGAGTAACTAACATTACATAAGCAATCTGACAAACTAGGAAATATTTTTAGCATATATGCATGCGGGTATAATTATCAAAGCCTGAATCTATATTCATCCTCTTTATCTGATCATTTGCTTTCCTCAAGAAGCGAACTGACTATTTGAAAATGCTTGCATATCATTACCAATCTATATATTTCCAGCAGTGGTGGTCAGTTTACCTCCGGTGATCATTATATCGAACCCATCCAGGATGTTGAAGATTCTTAGTAATTTCATATTTTACTTTCGTTAAAGTAAGATTGTTCTATTCTGTCTTACTGTAATAAGAGAGCGCTAAAACCACACTCCATTTTACAAATAGAATAGACGAAGAAAACATATGATGTGATGATCTTCTTACTTGACTTCCTTACCTTGTCAAAAGGGAAAGGCGTTCAATTCAGTTGCGTTGAAAATTAGAATGAAATTCAATTCAAAAATTTACCGGGAATCAAAAAAAGTGTACAATTCAAAGCAAGGCAATTCCTTGTGTAGTTTCGTATATATAATATATATTGGTCTCAGTGTAAACCACGTAAATTTAATTCATGAATATTAAAACCTTGATGGTTTAATTCAGGGGCTTTCGAGAAAGTTCTTAAGGCTGCGCTCGCACGCCGTTTCCTACTTATGTTTTCAAAGAAATCAGTCAATATATAGCACCTGCTACAGCAGCCCAGCCAGACAAAACGTTTAGATTGTTTTAATAATATTTTAACCATTGGATGTATTTATGCCTCTGGTGGACTGGGCGCCTGTGCTAAGATCCTAATTGCATGATCTTGTTTTAAGGTTCAGTTTGAAAAAGCTGATAGAAGTAGTTTCTATATTGATGCTGAAGTACGGGTTATCAACTGTAACTATCTTTTACTGAATAAATATTGTCTGGCTTAATTATTAGCATCATTATTTTTACATGTATAAACATAAATTTGTTCACTATGGTTCATATTGGACAATGAGTGCAACTGGGGAGAAGAGAAAACTGGGAGGAGTCCCTTGCCACCGGGCTTGCCACCTATTCACGCAATAATAATTGTTTAATCATTAGTAATTTGAAAGCTACATTAGTTATTTGAAAACTACACATAGAACACTGACAACAGCGTTTTCCTCGCAGCCAAATTCACCACCTCTCTTCCCACCCACTTTTATAAACCCATCATTCTGTTTTGTCTAGTCGTTTTTTTTTTTTTTTTTTTTTTTGCATTTCACATCCCTTTCGAGCATTTGTTTAAGCTTAATACATCGCAATATCTATGGTCTATGAATGGAAACATCTTGAAGGGATGGATGGAAACGGATTGAGAATGGATTGACGAGTCACTGAAAAATCTAAAACACGACCGCATTGAATGCTGGTGCCGGACCAAGGCCCTTTAATTATACTGAAATTCGTTCCTGCTAATGGCGCCTATTAATGATATCGATATTTTTTGATATATGACCATCTAATCTCCTGCGTGTCCTGTTATTTATTTAGTTTATGTGTCTAATCTTTGTAAAGTAAACGCCTAATACGCTCATCTTTGCTTCTCATTACTTTCAGGCTTGCTATCTATGATAAATGCACTGGGTTTATTACAACCGGAAGATTAAGCTTTGCCTTTAGGATATCAATACAATTTGCTAAGGATTCACTAGAATTTTCCTAGCTGCCCTCTTGGCAAAGTTATATCTATTAAGTATACATGTCTGACTCGGTCGGTGAATAATTATAAATTAACTATGTCGTGTAAACCTAAAAAAACTTTTTGTAATGTTGAAAATATAATACATAGCCTGGAGGTATACATAGCCAACTGTATAAATTTTCACAGGTCCGCGTACATGGCTCTCTAAAACGTTGGCCATCCATTATAAGAATAACAGACTTCTGAATTTAGAGACTGAAAAGAATAATTTCCCACCTAGTTAGCTATGTCGGTAATTTTCATTTTTTATGCTGATGGTTATTGTGGTTAAGTTTGTACTTACATGAATATAATTCTTGATTCAGTTCCAGATGCTGGTATGGCAAGATTGATAGAGAAACGTCAGTACCTAGGCCAATATTCCAAGATCACGAGGCAATAAGGAGGGGCAAATACGAAGTTAAATTGCTTTTTTTAGAGAAAGCAATATAGCAAAAGCTTCTAAGATTATATTATGACACGAAATTTCGCTTTCGTATTGTTGGAAAGATAAAGAAAGACTCTAGCTTCCGGCCGGAATATATAGCGAACTATTTATCACCTTGCGCAACGATAGCTGTCCTTTGAATCGATCGGGATGAGACGCAACATGCTTGACAACCGACCGAAATAAGCAATAAACACTGCTGACTTTTGATCCCAAAAGTGAAGTTACGAGATTTTAGATAAATACAATTTTATCCCATTGTCCCCCATTTGTTTTGCATCTCCAAGCTTTTGATGGCGCTAGCTTTGTTTGGTAATGTTTTCAATTGCAGATTAATATTTTTTTATGAACTGGCGGTTGCGCACTTGCACTTGCATAGTGATTTGAATGGACTGGCATGATCACTGCTGTCCGTCAGTGGTTACTCGTCTCTACTTGTCGCCATAGTACAATGTGTATGTTGTCAGATGTTGTTACCGCAACTTTAGCTCTTTATCAACGTTCATATGAAATTAGATGATGTCCCAGCACTATGGGGACCCATGGGAGAAAGAATCGATCTGATTTGGTGTTTCACTCCTAATCTTGTGTGATTTCTGAAAAACAGGAAATGGAGAGATCAAGAAAGTTATTATTATAATTATTAGTATTTTAGCATCTTGTGCTGTTTGTGTGTTTTTTGTTTTCATTGATGATCATTTGTCATTTGTTTTTTTTTTAGGTTTGTGGGTATTTTTTGCGTTTTTGTTTTATTTGCTTGCTATTTTCATTGTTTTTTGTTTTGTTTTGTATCCTTTTTATGTTTGTTTCTTTTTTTTCAGGATTGCTATCAATTCTGACGGAATTTCACCAAAAGACGCTATTTTTTCACTCACTTTTTCACTCGCATAAAATATTCGTTCATTGCACATCAACTTTGCCCGTGCAATTTTTCGTTCTGGACATCTTAGTTCCCCGTGCCGTGTCCACACTGATTCAACCCCCCTCCTCAGTCAACCTATTTCCTCCCTCGCGGATTCCTCTGTAAACAAAACTGGAAGGCCCCGGAGGAGGCTGTATTCGACATGATGATCCATGATGTATTAATGAAACTAATCTCAAATTTCTAAATATTTCGATTCCTGATTCCAGTCAAAACAACTGATCCTTAATTAAGGTCCTTAAGTGATAACCTAACAGTGTTAAATGGGCTTCCTGTGGTAACCAACTTTCGTTACCAGATCCTTCCTCAGTTTGTATTATTCAAAATGGACGCTCGAGGTGTCGATGTGGTTAGTATATTTTATGTATTTTGTCTTCCTTATCTTCTATTTATGACTGCAGTTGTATACAGTTTGTTTTGAAACCTTTCAAGTTACTAATCTGCGAAATATACTTCTTAAAATCAAGTGCTTTTTATATTTTGATTGATGTAATAGATCAGATGCTAGTGTCAGTCACGACCAGAAAAGTCTTCTGTTCTTTCAATCATTTTCATCACCAAGCAACAAATCATTGCCGATCTGTGATATTTTCTCAATGTTCAATAAACTTTTACTACTATTTGTAATAATTTTGCATGTAGTTAAGCTTATTGTAATATTTGCTTGAAATATTTGCTTGAGTGTGTCTGCTTCATGTCCACGTCGACTAAACGGTGGTTAGCGATACCCCTTCAAATGAATATATCTGTATCATCTCAGGTGATGGTATCTAATGCAAGTATTCCCATCCCCACAAGGAAGCTTAGTAAGGAAGAGCTGTGGAGGTTTGTGGCTTCTCTCTCTATATTAATAATTAATTAAACATCAATTTATTTATTAAATTTATTAAGAGTTTATAGTAATGATTATAGAAATACTGTAGCATCTCTCATGAAATCACCAAGAACAAGTTTTAAGAAGAAAGCAGAATTTAGCACTTTCCCATCTTCAAAAAGGGATTCCAAAATGACCTCCAAAAAAGTTAAAAATTCACACATAATTCAAAATTATTCAATAATTTAACCTATCATTTTCTTAGTGATTTGATTACAAATTGACACTTGATTTTGAAACAATCATTTGTATCACTGCTTTATGCTATTTGATTAATCTTAATGTTATAGAATTGAGCATGAGAAACTTCATGAGAAGCACAAAGGTCACGAGGCAATGCATATGGAAATGGTACTTATATTATTTGCAACTCTTGCCGTTGCACAAGTTGTCCTTGTAAAATGGAAGAAATATCACTATAAGTCATATCAGGTAAGATACAAGCTTTAAAAGGTGGTAATGTCTACTAGCATGACAATCCCAATAATATTGTACTGTTGGACAAACTACTGTTTGTATTCTCATCAAGCATTTTCTTCTTCTTTCAGACTGTTACTCTTGTTGGAATGTGGCTTATCCCAATGTACTTTAATATCAAGCTTTCATACTTGAGAATGATTGTAATTTGGAGCTTGTTTTCACTAGCAACTGGGTTTATTGTATTTAAAGCTACTAGAAGTCCAATATCTAATACCACACCAAGGTGAGTACTATTCAATAGTCTCCTTCACAGGTTCCCTATGCCATCTTGAAAGGTAGCCGTATCTTATCGAAGCAAGACAACCGTTGAGCGTGCAATGATAGAAACCTGTGAAAAATTGTCTTTAGATGTGAAAGAAGGTTTCTGTCATTGCGTGTGGTTGATGGCACATGTAACCGTGAAAAAGGCTATTCACCCAAACAATTTTGCGCAAAGCTAACTTCAAAATTGGTTTGTAAATCTGTGAAAGAAATATTATTAGCTTAGTTTTAAATAGTCTCCTTTGCAGACAGGAAGCTCAATAAAAGGTTAAGTTGTGAAAGCGACTGCTAAAATTAGTGTTGACAATTCAGAACAGAGGAATTAGCATTATTTAACATTAGCATTTATTATTTTTTTTGTACTATTTTGTTTCACAGGTTAGTACCTTCACTTTATCTCTATTTGCATAACTACCAAACTATTTCTGTTAATCCACCAGGCTAGTTTATAAATGGTTCTACACTGTACACAAGGTGACATATTTCTTGGGTGTTGCTGGGTATTTTATTATCATGCTCACTCTACTAGGAGTCAACCTTATGTTTATGATAAGACCAGAGACATCCATGGAGTTTGGTATTCTAGTCATGTTTTATGGACTGTATTTTGGGGTCCTTGGAAGAGACTTTGCTGAAATCTGTGCAGATAAAATAGCCTCAAAAATAGGGGTAAGTTGGTATAATTACCGTAGGCAAAAATATAATCATGTAAAACAAATAATTCTGATTCATGAGCATTTACAGAGGTGTTGTGTCACAAAGGTCAATGGTTAACATCAAGCAATAGTCTCTTTTATGGTTCCTTGTGCCATCTTGAAATATGAGACAACCTTTGGGAGTACAATGAGAGAAACCTTCTTTCACACCTACAGATAATTATTGACAGCTGTCTATCAATATATGCTCAATGGTTGTCTTGCTTTGATGCAAAAAAGGCACAGCTAGCTTTCAAGATTGCACAGGGAAACAAGAAGAAGACTTTCTGACTGGAAGGTCCATGGAGGCAATCTAAGTCTTCTTCCTTACACCCATCACACTGATAATCTGTTATGTGTTATTTTTTTAGTATTACAGTACCACAGGTCTACCTCACAGAAGTTTAGAGACAAATATATGTGCTGTGTGTGGCCAAGAACTAATACTAAATAGTGTAGATGAAGATGAAATGCCTGAGAAAACCTACAAACTTAGTTGTGGTCATGTGTATCCTTTAATCTCAGAAATCCTGAGGCTTTCAAATGTGCCCAGGGGGGAGGTCTGTCATACCTTTAGATAGATAAATATGCCATTTTGTTTATATTTTGGAATGCCAAAGAAAAAGCAAACAGAGAAAGAAAAAAAAAACAGGCAAAAAAACACTGAGGTACAAACTACCAATTTTTCACTTTGTCAATTCATGCACATCAAATTACATCAGATTTTTTTTCAGATTTATTTTAAATTCCCATTCACAAAAATGAGAATTTTGCCATTATTTTTTCTAAATTGCAATCCTGTCACCAAACAATYYKTCATTTTAATTTGCTATATGAATCCATTACTCTAAAACATCAGTGTGTTCAACCTTGACTTGTTTCAGCTTCCATGAGTTCTGCATCCGTGGTTGGTGTATAGTTGGTAAGAAGCAAACCTGCCCATATTGTAAAGAGAAAGTGGATCTGAAGAGAATGTTCTGCAATCCGTATCCTTTTCCATTTCCTGCAAATAGTGTGTTAACCAAATTAGTTAAAGGACGTGGTATATTATCTCAAATTTAGAGAGCAGGGAGTCTGGAGTCACTCACAGAGAATTTTTGGACTTTTTGTTTTGTGCCCACCTCTCTTTACAGTTTTTACATCCTTAACACATTATCAATCAGATGGGAGCGTCCACATGTCCTATTTGGTCAACTTTTAGACTGGTTAAGATATCTTGTTGTCTGGCAACCAGTTATAATTGTCATTGTTCAATGTATTATATATCTTTTAGGATTAGAATAAATAATAAATGAAATTTCACTTTAATTTAATACATTATTTTCATGAATTAGTGTTAATACTCCAATTTTGAGTTCAGGTTGCTCTGTGTTAGCCTCAAAACCAAACAACATATTATTCTTTTGTTTCACTGATGGCATGGAATTTGTTAAGAAAGACAATAGAGCGGATTTCGTATGACTGTGCAACGGCACAGACACGGAACGCCACAGTCACGGAACCTCGCCTTTCAGGATTCCAAATAAAAATAAAGATTTAACAATACATCACTGCTACGGCACGGTACGGTTACAGCGTTAAAGTACCGTGTTTTTTGCACGGTCAAATGAAATCTGCTCTAAATTAAAGTTGATTTGAAATTTCACACTGTTACTCTCACAATTAGGAATATAGACTTGCCCAAGTCAGACTCTCTTTTACTCCCAGGAATAGGTGAATATTGAGCGCAAAGCGCGATGGTCGAGCACGGAGCGTGAGAGGCAAGCTGCAAGGCGGTTCGAAAAATGGACTTTGCAAAAGTCTATTAGGAATACTATTCACACTAATGAGGCTAACACAGAGCATTGGAGAATTCGAAACTGGAGTATTCACAGGGTTTTTCCAGGAAGTATTTTAGGGGTAAATGAAAAATCTAAAATGGGGAGTAAAATTCAGGTTCAATGAACTTTGAACAACCAGGCCCTGGAGTGTATTAGCCTTCACTGCCAGCAGTCTGTGGTTTTAGGGGCACCCTAAATGTAGGCACAGATCAGTTATTATTATATAATATATGTAATATATACAATCCATATGAGCAGGCGATCTGTATGAGGATTTAAAACAGCGAGCTGAAAGCAAGCTGTTTTAAACCTCATACAGATTGCACGAGAATATTGTATATTACTTATGAAAAGTTGTCGGAGGTAAACTAGCTGAGGTTTTAAAGAAACTTTTAAAAAGAAATTCAGTCTGACTGAGAAAATCAGAGTTAAAGTTTATGCAAATGAGGAAGAAATCTGTATGTAATATACAACTCTCTTCATTTATAACATTAACTAAAATCAAAACAAGTCAACCTTATAAGACATCTACTTGTTTTCTTGTAGTATTACACACAGTAACCATCCTAATTTCAAAATTATGTGCTAGGTTTTTGGACCACTCGTAGTTCAATAAATTGTTCTGTAATAATTTTATAAAAATGTTTTATTTCATTTCTTTGAATTATTATACAATAAAATGATTATTTCTTCCTTTCTTATATTCAATGAAAATATGATTTTCATATAAGTATGTGGTGATAAACAGAGGAAATTCTCTTGAAAAGACCAGTTCCTCCAGCAGTTGAGAAGACACTTTTATTTGTTCTTTTTCAACATCTGATTTTGACTGGCTTGTCAATTCTCCAGTAATTCTATGAATCAGATCACCCACTAATGCTCTAGTCACTTTACGACTGTCATCTTCCAGCACACATTGGTGACGAACTGCTTGCCATATCTGAGAAATATGTTATCATTAATTTTAATTAATTAATAAAATAACTGAAACATGATTCAAAATCGTTATGTTGTTTAGCAATCTCATGCTGTGTCACTTGTGGCAAAAAACTTTTGACTTTATTTAACAAAAGTAAAAATTCTGTTCCAAAGCTTGTGAGTAATTAATTTTGTCCAAATAAGTTTTTGCTTCTGACATAGTATTTCATCAGGAGAGTTTAAGATTCAACAAACTGAAAAGGACAAATGACTGATGTGCATGCCGTTCACGCATCATTTCCCGCATCTTAATCTCTCTATTTAACTGAAATATGGTTTGCATAATGCTGCCCTGGAGGGCTGCATGATGGCATGTCCAGATTTAGTTTCATGAATGGAGGCAACTGATTTCATTTTTCTCCATATTGGCCATTAAGAACACTTTAAATGTGTCAACTCTAGTTACAGGAATCTTTTTAATTTGTGATTGTACAGTTAGTTCACTTGATTGCAGTCGGTGTTATTTATGATTAATTCCTATTTGAGCAAAATTACCTGGGATCTTGAGATCTCTGCTGTGGCTGAGTCTTCAACACAACCATTCAGGATGAAAGAACCCTTACCTTAGAAGTGAAAACAGCATAGAATGAAAATAATGTATAGTTTAAAACACAATCTCGAGTGTTTTAAACGGCTTCAAAAACTCCAACACTACTTTGAAACTCAAATCCGTTAAAATTCTTGGAGAAATTTTTTATATAATTATGCTGGCTCAACCCTAAACCTAACCCTAAACCTAACCCAAGACCTAACCCTAAACCTAACCCTAAACTGATATGTACTGGATACTGGAGTTATATTGGACTGGTTCAAAATAAATTGAACCAGTTCAGAAGAAATTGAACTGGTTCAAAATCATATTGAACCTGAACTACAACATACACAAGTTATCATTGGTTCTCAAAGCTTATTATTATTATTGAATATAGTTTTGTTACCTTGAAGCCATGCTTGTATAAATAATATTCCTACAGAAATGTTGCTGCACAATCCATCTAATGTAAAACCACCCTAAAATGCATACCAAAGATAAGCTAGCATAAAACTTTGTAGTCAGAATACAATAAAATCATTCCAAGGCAAAGTGAAAGAGAAGCAACTGTATTTGTGGGCTAAACTGACAGATCTAAATTGAAATATTTCACCTTTGGCAAGGTTAAGAGATCTTTAGCGAGTACATTGACATCCTTCCTCAACACATGCAACTGATTGACTGATGGTACACTTTGTTTCCACATCTTTTAATACAACAAGAAAAAAACTTAATCAATGTATTCACCTTTAGTTATATGATACGTTTTTTTTTGTTTTTTTTGAAGTTGAGAACCTCAGTTATTACTACACAGTACCTGTTGTAAAGGTGGTATGAGATCAAGATCAAATACTAGAAAACCATCAGCCCCTGCTTGAATCTCCTTTAATTTCACTCTAAATAAAGGAAACTCTTTTAGTACAGTTACCTTTTTCAATCTTTATTAGCATTTTTTAGGTTATTTTAATCACATAAAAACATATTAAGTCATTTCTTCGATTTATTCAATTTTAAGTACATGAACTCTCCAATAATACATACATGCAACTGCCTACTGACAATGCTCATTAGAACAGACAACTTGAGGAGTTTGATAATAGATCAAACTAAGATTTTAATATCCAAATGTTTCATTTAAGCAATACTAATGACCGAGAGTAACCTGCAAACATTTTGTATAATTTGATGGCACTTGTGCTGGTCATTTTGTGGTAGAATGACAGGAACCATTCCACCAGTTGCATGACATCCATGAGCATGACAGGTCTAAAGAAAGAAAACACAAAAAATTATAGGAAAAGACAAGAATATAGAAATCATAAATGTCAGGGAGTTTCCAGATTACAAAATCCTCCTGATCTACTGGCAGCATAAACCTTTGCTAACATTTAATATCAAGACCTCACTACAGAATGATAAATAAATATACTTTTTATTTCTTATGCCTAAACATGAAACGTTTTAAATGATTGTGTAACCAGTGTCTGTTTGATTGAATGATATGAAACGTTATAGGCATAGTATAAAACTGTTTAAACATATAATACTCTGCAATGCATTTGAGGAATCATGTCGGATTTACCTTAATCACCAACTCTAAATAACTCTTTAAGTACTGTTTATCCATTGATACATATTTTTTGCGGTCAGGAAGAATGAATTCCTTTCTATGCCCTTTACAAACAGTATTTAATGAATCAGCCTTTCAATCACTTTATCAATCACTCCATCAATCACTTCGTCAATCAATCATTCCATCCATCAATCATTCTATCAATCACTGCATCAATCAATCCATCAATCACTTTGTCAATCAATCATTCCATCCATCAATCAATCCATCAATCACTTCATCAATAATCATTTCATCAATCACTCAATCCATCATTCTATCAATCAATCTGAAAATCATTCCATCAATCAATCAATCATTCCATCAATCAGTCCATCAATTCACAAAACAATAAAAATAAGAAACAATAAGAAATCTGGCAGGTTTATCAACTACTAATCCATCCACTAATCATTCAATCAAATGATCAATCAATCCATCATCACTAACTTTACCAAAACCTTACCAAAAGTGTTAATAAATGAAGCCGAATAATCCCACATGCCACAGTTAATCCCAGCACAATGGTCTCTTATTTCAAACAGTATCTGCTCGAGTTCAAAGGATGCCAGGATGCTTTCAATAAGAATGCATGCCTTAATAGAACCAAATGGCATTCCAAGCTAAGAATTAAATAGAATTATATTTTATTTTTTATTCTAACTGGATGGGGGAAATATAATGGAAAAAGGAAAAGGTGTTAGGTGCTAATCATCCTTCATGGCAGTACGGGTGCTGAATTGCGAAAGACGCAGCTCTATGCGCTATCAAGTCGAAGTGCTATATTACAGACACATTTTTACACACACTTACACATAGGCATGCTGCCGGCTAGGCGCTTCCTTTACATAGCAACGAACGACTGAACGCGGAGCACAGCAGATAGAAATAGTTTGTTTTTACTGAGGGAGGAAAACCCGGAAAGACCCAGAAAAACCCTCGACGCAAGGGAGAGAACGAAAGAAACTAAAATCACATATGGCGCCCCGACCGAGATTCGAACAGGGTCCACAGAGGTGACAGTCCAGCGCTCTCACCGCTCGGCCACCCATGCGTCCCCAAAATGGAAAGTCAAGAGAAGAAGAACTTATTCAAAACATAAACAGAATTAAGTGCATAACCAAGAATTCAAAGAGATATTGGTTGGAAACAGACTAAAATACTAAATCAAGTTGAATTGTTGCCTAGCTTCAATACAAACAATAATATACTTGGCTGCATGAATGTAAAAAAATATGTATTTTTAACAAATCTAGACCACGACAATGGGCTAGAAAAGGCCTGTCATCATTTCTGTGTAACAGACTCCACTCTACTTACTTGCTCTTCTGCCCAAGTGAATATATCATTCCAAAGCCTTACTTCCAAGTGACTCTCTAGCTATAGAAAAAAATTATTAATTTTTTTTAGAAACAAACCCAATTGTCAATTGTCAAAAAATTCATAAAAGTAAAATATTAGTTTGGGCAAGATTTCTTCAGGATGTCACCACCTATAAATGAGATCACATTGTTTGACCATCCTCAGGAACCCAGAGGTTATCTTGGGAGTGACGAACGGATGTCAGAAGATTACCCCTGGGTTCCCAAGGATTGTATAATGGCAATGGAAATCCTTCCATCTGTTATCTTGATCCCAAGAATGATGAGCCCTTTTCCCATACAACAATTTACATCATGATGATTCAATGAATATAATCAGTATTAGAGAAGCTTAATTTTTACCTTTGAAAGATATAAGAAAGGTCCGTCTCCACCTTCCAACATCTTTCTTCCATTGTGAAAAATGTGCAAGCCAAAATCGAAGAGAGGTCCAGGAATAACTTTGCCATCAATCTATCATACACAATGAGATCACAAATCATAATACTTTTTTCCAGATTTATCAAATTCAAGTTTCTTAACTTATAACAGATTTCTGCAAGAGTTTTAGATTTACTATTGTCAATAAATGTATCAAAAGTGATGAATTAATCCCTCCTTTCAGAACTTGGAAGCCAATTTCAAAAAATTCAAAAAAAAATTTCCTTTGCGACGTTATCACTTGGTACTCAATTATCATGCTAATATATTATGTATAATTATATAAAGAATATTAATGAATTATAATTATTACCATAACATTGTGTTCTAGCATATTCCAGGCTCTTGGTCTCAGTATCATAAGTGGAGCATTTGCTATGGTAGGGACACCTGAAAAACATTTTTCAGATGATAAGAATCTTAAAGCAAGCAATTATCAATCACGCAGGTAGCCATACCTGACATATGGCCATGTACAAATTGGTAAATATTGTATAACCCTTTCAGTTGATTACTCCATGTGGGACAATGTCCATCATCAAGGTCTGTCTGCAGGACACATGATAATATTTTATAATATCTGATTCATTAATTATTGGCTATATTGTAATGTCATTTATTTATTTTTATTTATTTAGCTTTGCCCCTAGTATGGGCAGGGACACCGCAACAGCGTGAGCCAATTACAGCGGACCCTGTACTCTCACACTCACTACCTCTACATTAAGTATTTTAGTACACAACACTCCTCACATGTTGATTTTTACTGAGGAAGGAAAACTGGAGTACCCGGAGAAAAACCCTCTTGGCAAGGGAGAGAACAACACATCAAACAAACTCAAGCTTGGGAATCAAACCCGGACCACAGCAGTGAGAGGCCAGTAGCTTAACCACTAGACCACCTGTGCCACCCGTAGGTGATACACAGTCTGCCTTCAGGATGAGAGTACCCTGACCATGTAATGCTGACCAGCAGTCATTAAGTATGTGTATTGGAGGGAGAGCTATTGTATGTCAGCACATGTTTGCTTGCTTGATCTATCATTGCCAACACAAATACCAAAGATGAACTTAATGTCCTCTGAAAGAGATGTCAATGTGATGGGCACCAGGGAGTAGACCATGGAGTGTGGTTACCATGGTTACTGCCTAGTTGGCATGGTGACCTGAATTCAAGAAATGTTACTTAAGTGTACAGATAAAGGACATTTCTGACTGCTTATTCTGTCCAAGGTGATTTGACTTGTTACTGTTTTATCTTTTTATCTACTTGATTGGAAATAGCCAAGTTTAGATATTTTGGTTCAGTGACCATGCACAAAAGAATTGCAGACGAGGCTCCGGGGAAATAAAGAATAAATCAAGATTATCCATTGATAATTTTATTGTTTTTAATATTGCAAAGAGTTATTTTGAAGTGCACGCTTCAAAATGACCAATCAAAGAGCGTATAATATCGTTTTATTCTTTATTTCCCCGGAGCCTCGTCTGCAATTCTTTTGTGCATGGTCACTGAACCAAAATATCTAAACTCGGCTATTTGCTTGTATTTTCTTAATATAAACATGAAGTCTGTGTTATCACCTGAATCCCACAAGCTGATGAATTAAGAGCTCTCTTAAACAATTCAGTATTTGCTGGAGTTATATCACCAAGATCAATGCGTCTGTCTCTCAGTCTTTGTGGAATTGGGCTAATTTGCCAGAAACGGTGTGTGGTTGTAGTGTCCAGGAAGTCTGGAAGTTCATTAGTCTTCTTGAAATGAAGTTTTTTTAACTGACGTTGATTAAGCATCTTTAAAAAAATGGAACAATATATCCTAAATAAATGACAAAACATTTTGGCATGAGAGATAATATAGTGAACATATGGGCACGCAGAGACACTGATTCTATCTTCAAGTGTTTATTACAGGGGTGGATCCAGGGGAGGTGCTTTGGATGCGGACGCACCCCCCTTTTTGGGCAGCGTAATTTATTTATATATCAGTAGAAAAACCCTTTATTCTGCTGTTTATACTCCTGTTTGTACTTTAATCAAGAAAACGAGTAGCTCTACAAAACATCTGTCTGCCACTAGAGCAAACGCAGAAAAAACATGAAATAAAATCAAAGTAGTTACTAACAAATTGCAGATATTTAGAGATAATTTGTCAATATCAATGAACCAGAACACAATGGAGTAAATCCACATGGGACCATTTTTAATTCATCTTTATTGTGTTCTGGTTCATTGATACAATGAACGGGGGCGGCATATTAAAGGTTGAAGGGTCACCTCTCGATCATAGTAAATCAAACTAAGAAAAGTGTCCTTTCTAGTTTGATTTACTTCATTACTTACCTCTGATACTTGGTTGTCAAAGCGTCTGACTAAACTAGCAACAAACTGGACAGCTTCGTGTGTGAGCAGAGTGTGATATTCATCGTTCAAATGCACAGGAGAGCTGGATATTTCTACACCTTCATCTCCTTTCTGGCATAAAAACATTTCAGTCAAGGCTCTTCACTACCAAGAGTACATTGACATTGAATTCAATCTTGATAAATTACTTACGTTGCTCAATAAACTTATGGACGGTTGTTCCCGTTTTGTATATGAGTTTTTTAGATGTCCTGACAGTTTCCCTAATCTGCCCTTTGCCGCCATGTTTCTTGATATTACATTTGGGGTCCCTGTGCATTTCAACGTTCTTCGGCTCAAAAGTACTCTCGGGAAAATTAGAATTATACCACGATTAATGCAAAAAAATAAAAAAAAMAAACGAAAAACAGGATGAATAATAAGCACAAAATAAAAAATAAAATAATGCAATGAATCTTCCTGCTTTTGTGCTATATCGGGACTCGAACCCGCTACGACTCCATCACATATAACATTACAAGATGTGACACTGGACCACACTATTTTTAGTCGGACTAGCCGAAGGCTAGGTCGACTTAAGTTTTACATTTTAGCCAATCTATCTATCTATGTATTATGTCGCGTTTGGACCACCGGAAGTTAAGAATTTAATAGTTAACTATTGGGTTGGCTGTGTTATTACATGATCGGAAGCTCAAACGTCACTTCACTTCACTTAAGTTTTATTGTGCTACCTTTTGAGAACAAAAAATAAATTGCACGTATATATCGTTACTAAATATCAGATTCTACTTGCGCTTTTATGTGATAAAAAAAACTATTTGTTTACAAATGTGGTATCTGTGATCTCATCGGAATGCATCAGTCTAGCCATCAGAAGTACGCGCATGTGCGGATCGCATGGAGCTTCGAGTAGTATGCTTACGGAACAGAATTCTAGCGCTAGACAGTCTTGAGTCTTGTTTGGGCAAAGATTTCAAATTAGAACAAAAAGAAACTTTGTTTATCAATAACAAAAAGGCGACTTTGATTATTTTATAGGCATCTTTTTAAAAGTATTTATTTTCTTGGCCTGAGAGGTCAACAATTTGAATTAAAAACGTATTAGATATGATATCACCATGCTTTTATTATCCATGATATCACTTAGCGACATAGTCTGGATACCAGGTATTAATTACATGACCTTTTAGGTCAAAATTTAGATTTCTATCGTTTTGAAGTCGTTGCAGAGAGCAGTCAAAAAGAACATCGTATCGTGTGAATAAACGGTCACGCATTCTTGCTTTCACTATGTATTAGAAGTAAAAAATATAATATTCTACGCCATGATATACATTCAAAAATAGCTAGTCCGACTTCACGCTCCAAGAGCGTCTAGTTACATAATAAAAMACAACTTGCCACTTCCATCGAAAAGATAACCCCAGTTTAAGATCGTTTAACATTTCGATATAGTTTGTAATAGTTGCCTGGTTAGTGCAATGGGTTATCATCACATGGTCTAGGGGACGGATAGCTTCTCCTTCACTGTCTTTTTTATTAGGGCTCACATGTCATGTCACGTGATCTGGAATGCAAACATAACGCGAAAGTTCGGAGATTCTTGTAGTCACGATAGCCTAGTCTTGTACGAAGTCGCAATGGTGACTACTAAAAGATGTGCTTACGGCACATGCAAAAACGATTCTCGATATCCCAAACGATGRWTAAGCAACGCAAGAAATGATACTATGAAGTTTTATCACTTCCCCGGTTCAGGTCGACAAAATGAAAGGAGACAGCAATGAGACAGCGCTGAATAGCACAGCTTGTCATCGCGGCGATTTTTCTTACGTGAAATTACGTACAAAGACTTATATATGCAGAATTTACTTTGTTGGTGCAAATGGGCTAACAGAAGAAAATCTAAACCCAATTTCTGCAGTAGTAAGTAAAGAAAAAGTAAGTTAAAATTTGCAAAAATTATGAGAATTGTCTAAATATCTAAATATCATAATATCCATATCCATATATTGTCCGGAACACGCGGGTTTGCTAGAATAATTCATTGTTGACATCGAGAAAATGTTCAGAACTACGGATAAGTCTGTTGCCAAAAAAAACACTAAACTACAAAGACAAGGGACTAAGGGCATCGCGCGGGATTACCCATCATGCACTCGATATTATGATATTTAGATATTTCRACAATTCTCATAATTTTTGCAAAAGTCTGTATTTTGCAAAATTACTAAAAACTGTTAAAATGCATAGCTTGGGCTACCTGTGTTTCTCATGCTTTCTTTTTTTCACCTTTATAATAATTCTTAGTATTTTACAAATATCTACTAAAAATATTTTCACCATCACATAACCCCCAGGGGTTACAAATTCATGACAAGGATGGTACCTCTAAACTATGATCTTATCAAGACATCAAAATCGTGAAATTCCATACGCCTTTTCAAGGCAAATTGATAAAATATTTACCCCATCTAAGACTTGAGGGCTACCATAAACCGGTAGCCAAGATGATCTAAGATGTCATTGTTTTTCATTTTGACCAATAGTCTACTAGATAAATATTAACACCCTGTATAAGACATGGTTGCTGCACAGCCCCATGGACATCCAGTAATTCAAAATGTCACTTATAAAACTTTGAAAGCAATATTACCATCATTAGGAAATTTATCTAGACATGCATGGAATGTTGGATCACTACACCCAACATAAGACCCTGGTTTATATCTATCCCAGCTACTTTTTTTTCCATACATTATCCAGCTTTGACTATGCTTCAAAATGTCTGGTCCATAACGATTGTGTGAATACAGTCCAGGGGAATGAGCACAGTTTATCCAGTGATTATTTACACGGCACTTGGTGTAGTGTGATGGTTTGTTCAACTCAGGGGGAGAATACTTGTCAGCTGACATATCTATTGAGCCCCAAACTTCTATATTTATGTCTGGAGTGTAAAAATCTAGAAATCCACTCGAACCACCCTTTTTCAATTTCCCATCACTGCCAATACCTGSTGGTTGRTATCCTTCCAGTTTATATCCATGTTGTGACACAAGAGTCGACTTAGAGTTGACAAACGACATATTATAAGATGACAAGAWTRAATCCCCATCAAYGTCAAATGGATTGTAGTTGTTGAATTTTACACATGCCAGATTTGAACCAGAATCAAGTTCGTAATGTATGTTATTTTTCATGGACAAGTCGTGGAAAAAATTCATGAAATTTCCAAACTGCTCCAAACAGCACATAGGAAGAGCTTTATCCTTTGTTATTTYCYWGGTATYACACTTGTAYGAAATTTCTCCRCAAGAAAACTTATGTCTGACRTTGTAATCATTCATAACAACCCGTACTAACTTCCAGTCTGTTGCAAGAGCATGCCACACTGCCTTGCTGTTGTGTTTAGTTTCTGTAGAGTAGTCTGTTGTRAAATACATTGCATCAGGGCAGTTCATTACCAAGTTTCCACTGTGAAAAAYACGWAGAAAGAACTCTTCRAACAAGATTTCTTTGCTATACTTTTCACTGAATTTGAGAGCTTTCAATAGATCAGTTCGGGCAACAAATGGACCTTCCAAGTCATCACAAAACATGCAAGAGTATCTAGAGAAGTGATAACCTTCTTCATACTGTAATACATAGTTAAATAGCTTAGTTTGTCGACATCCTACTCGCCAATGTCCAGTAAGATTACGGAATGATCCTCCAACTATTGCAACATGGTCTGTTGTACTTATCATGCGAATTTGTCGTTCAATACGTGTAACCCAAGTAAAATGAACAATATCTCGTGCAACAAGTGTGTAGGGAGTTGAGACTTCATTGATAAGTTGGTTCCATACTTTACCAAAAGAACTGCCCTTACTGAAAGTCACAGTTTTGATATTTGGGTATTTTTTAGCTACTGATTTTATTTGGCTAGTCTTGGCTGCCAAGTAAACTTTGACTTGTGGATAGGTTTGATTGATACCATTTAATACAGTGTCTACTTGCTTTTCCATTGGCTTAGGATATTCCATTGTATTAAGAATAATGCTCACAACCTGTAAGAAAAAGCAAATAAGTGTTAATGAAAATATGAATAAAATATCTCTTGGTAATAAAAATATGTGGCTATCCAAAAAATAGGCATAATAACACAACCAACCTGGTTCAATGGTTTGACATTTTTGCAATCTTGCAGTTGCCATCCCTTGTGAAAGAAAGGGTGGTCATATAATTCACCCATATACTTCTCAGGGCAAACATCCAGCATGACAGATGAATTTCTTGGTTCTGTGGGTTCTTCAAAGCTGAGTTTATGTGCTGGATTAAGTTCTGCAATAATGCTATTGAGTTTGACAAGCGTCTTAGGGGTAGGCGGTTTGTTATAGTCCATGGCATTCTTAAGTTTGAGGTAAATATCAGCTAATTGATTGGCAAGCTCTCTCTTTGTTTCAATATAAGGGACTACATTACAAGGGATTKGCCTTTGGTACTCATTTTTACAAGTTTTGCCAATGAAGCTAAAGACAATAAGGTTGGTTCCAACAGCAACTACCAAAATCACAAAAGTGGATTTGGGACGCATATTTGTGTTTTATTATGACTTTTAACCTGAAATCAAATAATCAGAAATCAAAAGAAATGGCAGCATCATCTCTACATTTACAACAATCAACTTAAGTTTGATTTTCTTTGTTGTGTCACAAACTGTGATATAAATAAACAAATTAATAAAAATCTAAAACCCACTCCGCTTCGCACGATAGGGGGCGAAGTTGCATTACAATTGCATAGTGTTGTACTTGACCTTTAAACATATAGCATCTCCTGGCAAAGTCGTAAAACTAGGATCGTGTTGCAATCCTTACAGCACATCAAACATGTTTGGTTCTGAGTTGTGCATTTGTGTACTCAAAGTATTTTGAGCTTCATTCTAGGTAGTTATTATAGTCTTGTTCTCTTGCTATTTGAGCAAATTGGCATATCACACTTAACTATGCTAATGAGTTTAGAGTATGCTAATTTACCCTGTGTCTACAAAATGGAATATCATGAACTATCAAAATATAACTGCTCATCAAAGCACAACTGAAAAATACAGACTATTGTCCAAAAACAAGACATTTTCTAACAATAACAGTTACAATAGACAACTTTTTAGATATATAACTCAATTAGCATACTCAGAAATCATTAGCATAGTGAAGTGTGGTATGCGAATTCGCACTATTGACTCCAAAAGAAAATGTCAAGTCAGGGTACTGTTAAGCAAGTATTGAAGAAGGCAGCATTCTATGTATTTCATGTGGAGGATACRCAGGCRTAGTGTGGRAAAAAAAATCGTTATACACCTACTTGCAGAAAYGTTGTCATAGAAAATAGRACATTTGTATTTAGTAAAAAGGAATAAATTAAAAACACAAAGGAAGATCACTGAGGCAGAACGCTTTCTTTTGTCTTGTTTMAATTTATTCCTTTTTACTAAATTCAAATGTTCTATTTTGTATGACAACGTTTCTGCAAGTAGGTGTATATACCTTTTTGCTTTTTCAGTGTTTTTATATACCTTGGCTTCTATACCTTACTGGAAAGTATTGATTTTTTAACAAAATATTGGTAGTCTAATCACTAAAGAAATCAGTACATCAATTAATACAGTTCTCTATTGTTTATGTTTTGTGTCTTTGAAATCGTTTCATTGGAACATAACTGTAAAATTGACACAGTGAAGGCATGTGTTATAATTTCACTACAATCCTGCCGTCAGTTTCRATGCAAACAGTAGAGATAAAAAGTAAACTGTAGAGAAGACAGTCCAAGCATAATGCAACTTCGTCCCCTATAGTGCAAAGCGGGTTTAGTCTAGATCTTAGAGGTTATACGTGAACTATAGTTCGCCAAAATTAATGCACATATATTATACATTAGTATAAACATAC